CTGATTATCTGTTAGACTTGGAACCGCTTAGTTTCTGCAAATTTTGTTTACTATTATTGACTATTCATTTGTGTTTGGTCATTGCTTTGTTTTGAGAGAATCGAGGATCGAGCTTTTTTGTTTTACCTTTGATTTTGAGTCATGTAAAATGGAAGTAGGCAGCAGAACCTATAATAGTTTGCCATGTAAAATTTTACAAAAAGTGTGGATTATAAGTTTGGGGTTTGCAAAATGAATGGATAAAAGTATGTTTAACTTGCTTAAATTATAATATAAATTTTGTCGAACATACACAATATATTATGAATCAAAAGAACTTTACCATATTTTTGTGTATTAATGTTTTAGTTTTGACTAAGAATTACAATAATAATTTGTCCAAAATTTTAGTAACAAACTCGCAGATAAATTGAGAAATAATAGCTAAAAAATGGTGTAACTTTAACCTAATCTCTAATTTTAGAATATGTAACTCAATACTCTCGACAACTAATCACTTGACATGTGTAGTATTTATTCGTGTTGAATTCAATTAAATAATGATTCTCAATTATTTAATATACGTGTTAATTATATACTGACAATGATTACTCGGTACTCCAAATTTCAAGAGTACTAAAAAAAAGTTCCTATTGAAGACTTGAGTCTCTACCACTCAAAGGAATATTTCTCATTGTCAACGGATTAAATTGGTCTGCATGAATAATGAAAATTAATTTGATCTTGTTTAGCCAAAATCAGTTTGGTAATTACAACTTCCCAAACTATTTGAATTTGATCTTCATAATATTGACTAGGAAGTTAGACTTGTTTGTTGCACCAAAGAAAATTGATTTATTTTTATTTTATTGTTGGACGTAAATATAATTCAGGTTATTAACTTACTAGTTCATGTCCTTTTTCTAATCATTACATTACAGCCCTGGATAAGTTTTACCGTAAATTTCATTATATAGCATAATTTATTGGACAAAAATCAATAAACAAGTATAAATATGCGTAAGAATAATTTATTCAATGATAATGAATTGTAAATAGGAGGAAAATTGACACAAATTACATGGAATTTGCTCCGAGTAATATAACCATAATCTTTTGCCTTTATACCCATGTTTAGACCTCTTTCTACTGTGAATTTTCTGTGGACTTACTTCTTCATCTGCAATTCTCGTGTTTTTCCGGTTGAGAATAGAAGGATGAGAATACATTATTTTGAATTTTTTTAAAATCAACACAAAATGACAGTAACACGAAAAGTTGTTGATGCAATGTTGCAGTCGTGTCATGTCATTTCATTCAACATCTTTCTTGAACTCTCCATTGTGAGATAAAACTAATAATTCTGACCATATTCGAAATATACATTGTCAAACTAACGTTAATTTAGAATATGGAATTGTAGACATTTAAAATTATCATATTGTCGAGACACTACATCCCATAGCGTAATTTTAATGTTTAGAATTGTCAAACGGTTGCACTGGACTGCATTGTCCAGATATTTAGGGCGTGTTCGGTAGAGATTAAAATTGGATTAAAATTGAAAAACTAGCTGTTATTGTTGATTTTTATTAGACGAGTAAGACCCAATAACGATCATATTTTCAATTAAGGACCTGTTTGGTGCACAT